TGCTGCACATGGCACGTGTATCTCTGCTCCTCTCCACGGGGCACCACCAGGGCCGCCCACTTCTGGAAGGTCCCATCCCCCGCAGGCCTGGTCTCCACAAACTCCGTGTCCTGGGTCTGCTCCTCCCCATCACGCTGCCAGCTCAGGCTGATGTCCGCAGGGTAGAAGCCCAGGGCCCAGCACCTCAGGGTGACCTCACGGTCAGAGATGGGGTGGTGGGTCACGTGTGTCTTTGGAGGGTCTGAGGAGAAGGGGGAGGAAATTCAGGGACTTGGCACTGTCAGGGGACCCTCCAGCAGCCCTCATGTGACCACCTGAGCGTGGACAGGGCACCTGGGGTGGGCGAGGGAGCACACAAGCACCACCAGCCTGGACAGAGCATCTGGGGATGACCTCTCCTCCTTAGAAAGTTCTAGTCAGAGTGACACAGCCCAGGGCGGGAGGCAGGTCTCAGGCGGAGAAAGGGATTTCTGGTCCTGTCCTGGTGGAGGCCAACGGACTCAGAAAAGTCGGGGTCAGACCTCAGAGACACTGGGTGAGGGGCAGGGAGCAGGTCCCCCATGGGTCCCAGAGCCTCTGCAGGGCCAATGGGAACCGCTGCTCAGTTATTTCAGGGTTAGTCTCCCCTCTAATTGTCCCTGAGAGACTGCACCCCTAGGCGTCCCTGAGAGAAGGGAGGGCGTCACTGGATCTGAAAAGCCAGGCGGACTCAGTCTTGGCCCACAGAGGAGGGGGGTCTGACACTGACCCTGTGTCCTGTCTCCTTGTTGAGCCCCAGCCCCAGGGGAGAGGAGGGAGGCCCCAGGCCCTGGTACCTGCGCGCTGCAGCACCTCCTTCCCCATCTCCAGGACTCTGTGGAGCAACTCCAGGCACCTGCCCTCCAGGATGTTCCTGAATCGCTCAGCCTCACCGGCCTCCTCCCACTTGCGCTGGGTGATCTGAGCTGCGGTGTCGGCCGCGGTCCAGGAGCGCAGGTCCTCGTTCAGGGCGATGTAGTCGGTGCCGTCGTAAGCGGACTGGTAATAACCGCGGAGGAGGCGGCCGTCCGGTCCCATGTCACAGCCCAACATCTCCTGGTAGGTGTGAGACCCTGACCCACCCCGAGGTCAGTGTCGCCCACTGAGCCCCGCCCCTGCCCCGCCCGCGGGGATTAAACAGAAACTGAAAGTAAAACCGGGTCCAAGTCCCCGCGGGCTCCTCCCGGGTGTGTCTATGGGTGGGTGGGGGTGAAGCTTGGACCCGGTCACTCGGGCGACCCCGGCCCGTCCGTGGGGATGGGGGCGGTGACCGGCCCCGGGCCCCGTGGCTCACCGTCCCGGCTCTGGTTGTAGTAGCCGCGCAGGATCTTCAGTCCCACTCGGAAAGTCTGTGCGTGGCCCTTTAAGTTCTGCGTCTCCCGGTCCCAATACCCCGAGTCCTCCCGCTCCACCCAAGGCTGCTGCATCCATGGCGCCCGCGGCTCCGCCCTCGGACTCGCCGCGTCGCTGTCGAACCGCACGAACTGCGTGTCGTCCACGTAGCCAACGGCGAAGAAGCGGGGCTCCCCGCGTCCGGGCCGGGACACGATGGTGTAGAAATACCTCAGGGAGTGGGGGCCTGGGGGGCGGACGGAGGGCAGGGCCGCGG